AGACTGAAATGGCCCCCTGCCAATTTGAGTTTAAGACCCCTGATCTGGGCTGTTTCCACTTCAAGGTTAAATGCACATATCTGATCTGCATTTACAATAGAGAATAATTACAGAAATTACCAATGTAGGAATAATAAAGAAATAATAAATCAGTTAATCAACAACTCTGATGATACTGAAAGGCCTGTCTCTTTCTCTCTGTTTTTACAATATAAGAACACTAAAAAGCTGTTCTTGTGTTATTCAGAGTCTCCTTACGGAACTTGAAGTGACGTGCTTGCATGGAAATAAAAAATGTAGAGGATAATAAATGAATACGTAATCTGAATCAAGCTCTGTTTTATTTTTGATTTCTTCACAGTCCCTGATTATTCCTGGAAAAAGTCCAACACGTAAGAAATCCGGTCCGTTCAGTTCCAGGAGGAGCAGCGCCATTGGGATTGAGAACATACAAGAGGTTCAGGAGAGAAGGTACAAAATTAAAGAAGTTTGAGTATTAGGGAAAGCCATGTTATGAGAAGATTCAGAACAACATGGTTTAATACAGTATTTAAAAATATGTAATGATTCATTTTATACAAACAATGGCTTGAAAACACTTATATTCATTTATTATACTTTATTATTATAATGCTTTTCATCATTATTATTATTAATTTGTACTGTGTTTCTAATTATATTTTTTGTCTTCTTAAAATTCATGCTTATTATTTGAAAATGTGAATTTAAAATAAGGCACTGTGGTATTATTAAAATGTATAAAGTTGTTTTGTTGTCTTGTGATGACCAAAAAAACACAAAAATATAACAAAGACTGTGTTGTGAGATCAGAAAGTGTTCTGTCCATTCAATGTCATGGTAACAAGTTCATTCAAAAGTTAAAACATCATGTACTGTAAGAAGTAATTAAGAAGAGTTCATTGTTTCAGTAGTCGAGAGGTGTCCCCGAGTCCACAGAGGTCATCTGATGGTGGACACATCGCTCAGGAATTTCGGCTAGACAACTCGTCCAATCAGAGCTCACCTGAGATGGCAACCACTAAGATCGGGTGAGCAGAGCATTACTAAAAACACTGACTTCTGTTTGCATGCAGTCGCACACTAATGCAGGATCCATTTTTAACCACAAAATTTATAATCTGATCTTTACATGCACTGTATATACATATAATAAGTAGTTTTTTATGTTTTTAAAAGTTACAAATACTAAAAAGAATTACACTGATCTCAAACAGCAAATGCAATACCTTATACTAGCTTTACACTAGTAATGCTTTGTTTTTAATGCTTTTTTTTTATTTATTTTTTTTATTTGTCATCAATACCTGTAACTAAATATCCTCATATTTGAGTTTCATGTTCATATGCAGTATGTAAATAGAACGACCTGAGGTTATGGCGCTTATTCAAAGGGAACAATTGCTGTTACTCATGAACCGCTCCTTGTTTCCTCTTTATTATGCTTGGCACAAAACCACTCCTAACTGCAAATAACAGATATTCATTTATTGTGTTTGAGCTCAAACAATTATTAGACCTTTACTAGTTGTTCAGTGAGTCATTAGTTGCACAACAACTTTGAAGTAATAATCACTAATCATAATATTATGCAATAGCAAAATACAGCCCAAGCAACACCTTTCAACCACACGGATGAAGCAGCTGGTTTCTGTTATAAGTCTGATGGTGGCAGTTTGCTGGAGTTTTTGTGCTCTTCACTTTTTTTTGAAAATAGTTTTTTTAAGAGTTAAACATTTGAGTTTTTTGATTGAGCATTTTTAATACATTCAGCTGATTTCTGCCATAATCACTTTTAGCTTAGCTTAGCATAAATCACTGAATTGACTTAGACCATAAGCCTTTCGCTTAAACCACAGGTGTCAAACTCAGTTCCAAAACGGCTGCAGCTCTGCACAGTTTAGTTCCAACCCTAATTAAACACACCTGTTCAAACTAATTGAGTCCTTCAGGCTTGTTTGAAACCTACAGTCAAGTGTGTTGGAGCAGGGTTGGAACTAAACTGTGCAGGGCTTCGGCCCTCCAGGAATTGAGTTTGACACCCCTGTACCATAACCCTTTCACTTAAACATTAAAAAAAAAAAAAAAGTTTTGGTAATTTTCCTATGTAAAGCTTCACTCTTGTATGGTTGCATTGTCTACTAAGAACAACGGAAAATGAAAAGTTGCTATTTTCCAGACTCATATTCAATTCAATTTCAATTCATCTTTATTTGTATAGCGCTTTTGCAATGTAGATTGTATCAAAGCAGCTTCACATACAAGATTAAATTGGAACAGTGTAGTTCAGTTTTCAGTGTTTAAGTTCAGTTCAGTTTAGCTCAGTTCAGTGTGGTTTAATAATCACTACTGAGAGTCCAAACACTGAAGAGCAAATCCATCGATGCGCAGCTCTACAGATCCCGAACCGTGCAAGCTAGTGGCGACAGTGGCGAGGGGAAAAAAACTTCACCAATATGGCTATGATATTGCTACAAAACTATACTCCCATTTTGCCTTAATAATCAAGGAACTCTGCTGTCAAACCATGAAAATAGGCTTAGAGTTATTAAAGTAAAACATTTGAGTTTTAGCATTTTTGAATCCATTCAGCTGACTTGTGGCATAATCACTTTTAGCTTAGCTTAGCATAAATCCTTGAATTCGACCATTAGCATCTCGCTTAATCATCTTTTACAAGAGTTTTGGTAATTTTCCTCTTTAAAGCTTCACTCTGCTATGGTTGCATTGTCTAGAATGACGGAAAATGAAAAGTTGCTATTTTCCAGGCCGATATAGCTTGAAACTACACTCATTAAGGAACTCTGCTGCCATACTAATAAAATAGGCTTAGAGTTAATAGAGTTAAATGTTTGAGTTTTAGCATTTTTGAATCGATTTAGCTGATTTCTGGCATAAGCGCTTTTAGCTTAGCATAAATCATTGAATTGAATTAGATCATTAGCATCTTGCTTGAAGAAAATTAAAAAGAGTTTTGGTAATTTTCCTATGTAAAGCTTGACTCTTGTATGGCTGCATTGTCTACTAGGAACGACAGAAAATGAAAAGTTGCTATGTTACAGGCCATTATGTCTAGGAACTATAATCTCATTCCTGAGTAATAATCAAGGAACTTTGGTGCTGTGCCATTACTGCAGCAGGGCCAATAATATTATGCTGTGCTGTGTCAAACATGTTCAATTATAATTAAAGATGATTTTATTCTCTTGCAAGAGGGTCAGACAGTCATACAGAAGCACAGGTTGCTGCAGTGTGTGACAAGGAAGGGAGGGTTTTCTACCGCTCATATTAATTATTCAAGGTTACATTATGGACATGCTGTACTTTTCAACACTAGACAAAGAAATTAACAAAAGTATGTCATATATCTCATGCTAGCGCCCTGAAACCACATCTTCAGATACAGTAGAAACACTGTATTTCATAAGCATCTAAGTTTGGGAAAAACTTTTTTTTTATCTACAACTGTTATCTAACTAGGGACTAATTTTGGGTGCTGCTTAATATTATTGTGCCTGCTGCAACCATGGTACAGCAGCAACGTAAACCTTTAACTATATCAGAGAAAAAAGTGCTGATGTGGATTTAAAATAGCATAAATAATGGTTAGTATCTCATGTTTATCTGAACTTGGAGAGGGTACTCACTGCAGAGCCATTTGAGCAGAGCTGAGCTCCAGCGAGGGGGAGCATGAGCTCTTGCTCTGCCTCCTGTAAGCTGTTTTAATGCGTACACCAACCCCACCCCTAACCCTACCCCCAGTGACATCACTCGTAGAAGAAGTGCAAAAAAGGTGGAGCTCAAGCTCAAGCTCCCCCTCGCTGGAGCTCAGCTCGCCCAAATGGCTCTGCAGCGAGCACCACTTGACCTTATGTGTGTGTGTGTGTGTGTGTGTGTGTGTGTTTGTAGTTCGGCCCTGTGCTGTCGAGCTCCATCTATCCCCGAGTCTCAGGATTTGTCTCGCTCCTCGTCCAACGCCAGCAGCTTTACCAGTGTAGTGGAGGATCATGAAGCGACAGAGGACTACGACACAGGACTGGTGAGGACACAAACACACACCACTTTCAACAATACATTATGCTCACACTTTATTTTACAGTGTGTGTACATCCATGAGAAAATACTGGGTTACATGATAACTGTGCATTGTATCAAGTACCTCAAATAAAGGTGCCATAGAATCATTGATACAATATGTTAAATTGTTCTCTGATATCTAAATAAAAAGGGACGTGGTAAGTGCAAAAATTATCCTGAAACGACTTTACATGTCAATTTCCAACCCTAAGAATGGGCCCCAATATAATTAGGGTTGGGTATCGTTTGGGGTTATTTCGAGACCGGTGCTAAATTGATACTTTTAAAACGGTACCTGTGCCAAAATGGTTCCTGAACCTATACTTTTTAGCCACAAAAATATTTGACAAAAAATACATATTTTAATCATTATAATTGAACAATATAAATATGTATTTATAATAAGTTTAAAGTAAACATCCTGTAACGACCGGGGAGAGAGTGACAGATACAACTGAGGTAAGATCCAATATGCAGGTTTATTCAGCGTCAGGCAAGCAATGGTCAAATCAGGTACAAAGGTATGTGCAGGCAAATCCAAAATCGTAGTCGTAGTCGTAAATCAGGCAACAGGTCACAAGGCAGGCTAAACAAGAGAACAAGGAATACAAGGCTAAGGTCTGACACGGAGAAACAAGACAGGGAACGCCTTGTAATGTCACAATAAGTTAACAAGACTCGGTAAACTGGAAGAGTGCAAGAGTGGCTTATAAATGGTGTGCATTCAGTTTCTGACAGGGTTCAGCTGGTGAGTGCAATCAAGTTAGATGAATGAGCAGGCGTGCGTGTCTGGGAAAAGTGCATGTATGAATATGTAGTCCTGGGAAATGCGGAAGTGTAGTCCTGGTGTTCGTGCGAGAGCCAGCGATCTCTGGAGAGCGATCGCTTTTTGTGTTACACATCCATTCATATATTAGATATTTAAGTTGCATTAATATATTTCTTTTGATTATTTGTTTGTTAGCATGAATGCAAGATTTGCATTATGCTAATAACATTACATTAGTTCACTACTAACCTGTGGAAAGGCTCTCATCAAAATCAGGGAGCACTTTTTTTCTGGGTTTGGGGCTTGTGACTACTTTTACATGGACATCAGTGATCTAATGATTTGCCTTAATCTGAATAAGACAATAATATGATGCAGGTGTTTACATGAGTTGTTTTTTGATTGTTACACTCATGATTTCCAGTTAAATGTTATAGCACTTAGATTCATCAACGTCATTGCGTCACCACACTTTAAATGTTTCCTCTGCAGTTTGTGTCTGTGGTCCTTTAAGATAATCAAAACTCACTGTTTACGTGGTAGACTCTTGATCAGAGTATTGGTGTTCATGTAAACGTACTCATTGAAAATGCCAGATGATGTCACAAGCTGTCAAAGACAGTCCATTCCTCACCTTTAAGATGATTCCATGAGCCCTCACATTTCATAAGATTGACGTGTTTCTCCCCCTTACACGCAACTTTTGTAAAGCATCTGCTGCATATTGGTGTGTCACAATCCTTGCTTGTAAAATACAGCCATACTTTAGAATGCTTAGTTTACGTAAATTAGATGAATTATATGAATCAGAAGGAGGCGAAAGATTTGAATTTGACTCCTTTAAGAGACCATCTCTATTTATTAGCCACTTTTTTGTTGAACAATTGGACTTTGCAGTATGTTTTTTTTTTAATAAACACATTAAACTAACAAAAAATAGTTCCAGTTTCAAGGAGCTACTTTAGTCATACATTAATACAGCCTTCAGGTATTGTTTTCCTTACCTGGAACTAAAACTACTTGGAACATTTCTGTAAAATAAAATAAAATAAAACAATAAAATAAAAATTTAAATTAAATACAAAAATTAAATAAAAAAATATAAAAAATTATAAATAATAAAATAATAATAATAAGTATAAAATAAAATAAAATTACATTAAAATTACAAAATGAAAACAAAATGTTAAATAATTAAAAATAAAGTAATAAATAAAATAAATAATTTAATTAAATAAAAAAAGTAAATATAATAAATTTTATAATAATAATAATTCCTAACATTTAAATAGCGCTTTTCTGGGCACTTAAAGTGCTTCACACATTGGGGGGAATCTCCTTACCCACCACCAGTGTGCAGCATCCACCTGAATGACACGACAGCAGACATTTTGCACCAGACTGCACACCACACACCAGCTGATTGGTAGAAAGGAGACAGAGAAATGAAGCCAGATAAGGGGATGGTTAGGAGGCCATGATGGACAGAGTCCAGTGGACAAATTTGCCAGGCTGCTGGGGTTAAACCTACTCCAATTCGAACATCCTGGAATTTTTAAGGACCTCGGTTTAACATCTCATCCAAAAGACGGCACTCACTGAGCAGTATAGAGTCTCCATCACTATACATTAGGGGCATTAGGACCCACACAGACCGCAGGTTCAATAGGAAATATGGCAAATGATATGCAGCCTTGGGTGTGCATGTTCATGATCCTCTGTGGATCATCAGGGCCTGTTTTCCACCGGGATTATACACTCATTGGATTTACATGCGAACAAGGAAGCAATGGTGTTTGTGGCTCACTGTATGTTACTTCCACATACTGAACTCTTATTATTCAGCTCTGCCTAGGTATATACAGGTTTTCATTCTATGGCACCTTTAAATGCAAGTACATAAGGCCACTGAATATAATGTGGGAACATGTAATAGATACTTAATATGTAAATACAAAACAGCACTATAAAATAAAGTGCTACCTACATACCTCATGCTATTAATATGTAAAGCAATTGTTTCAGTCAGCAAAACTCCTAACGGCAAACAAGACCATCTGCATTTAAATATCTGAATATATCTGCAGTCAAATGCGTTTTGGTATTTGCATGTAATTGCCCGAACAGAAATATGATTTGGCAGGACTGACTGCTTGAGCTGTTTGCATATGTTTTTTTTTCTTTTTTTTTCTGGCATTCAGGAGAGTCTGTCTTCAGCCGGTACACCTCACAAACGAGATTCATTTCCATACAGCTCTGTGTGGTTGGAGGACGCTTCTGCTAGCTCCAGTCAGAGCAGTCCACATGGTGAGATCCAACAGACATTCATCTCTCAAGCAAACATTTGTGATTACACAATGATAAGATGTATGCTGGAGTTTGTGTGCAGAAACAGCTACTGGATTTAAGTGTTTATAAATGCTACATAGCTTGAATAGTAGACTGTGATAAGCTCAAGTGTTTGATTTCCTCAAGTGGCAAAAGGTGTAGATGCAAATGATGGTGCTTGCAGGTTTTAGTAGCTAAAAAAAAGAAGAATCTACTGAGTATACCACAGACAGACACCAGTGACACCTATTTGGAATTAGTGCGTATTTATATATATTTTCTCAGTTTTTATTTTAAATTTGAGTAATTTTGATGAACTGATTCATGCAAGAGGCAGGTGCTATTATTGTATTATTTGTATAATTTTACATGTTTGATTGATATTTTGAATTCTTTTACATTTTTAAGTGTTTTAGTAATTTTTCATTTTAGGTACCACAACTTAAACAACTTTTTTTTATTTAAATTTTATTTTATTTAAATTTAATTTGAATTTATTGAATTTTATTTATGACTTTATTTTTTAGCATTTTATATTTAATATTTTTTTATTTAATTTGCATAAATTTTATTCATTTTCATTTTTCTCATTTATGTTTTATTTAATTAAATGTTATTTTTTATTTAATTTGTAAAAGTTATTTCATTTTTACTAATAATTTAATTTTATATTATTTTACCTTTCTATTTTAACTTAATGTATTTATTTTTAATTTAATTTGTATTTTAAATTTAATTTAGTTTTATTTTATTACTTTATTTTATTGTAATTTAATTTGAATTTATTTTATTAATTACTTTATTTATTTTATATTTAATAGTTTTTTTATCACATTTTAAAATGTATTTTATATTTTTTCATTTAATTGTTTTATTTATTACTTTATTTTTTATTATTTCATATTTCATATATTTGAATTTGAACTTAATTTAATTTTATTTAGTTTTATTTTTTATTTAATTTTATTTGAAATATTTTATTTATTACTTTATTTTTTGATTTTATTTTTTATTTTCATTTATTTTGTTTCATGTTTTGTTTTATTAAATTTTTTATTTATTACTTTTTATAATTTTTGAGATAAAAAAATTCTTGTCTTTTATTTATTCATATATTTTATTTTCAATTTAATTTTTATTTTTAATAAATTTTTTGTTTAATTTATTACTTTATTATATTTTTATTTTATTTATTACTTTTTACATTATATTATATATAATTTTTTTGGATTTATTTATTTTATATTTAATTTTTTAATTTTAAGTTTTGATTTTATTTTATTATTATTATCATTTATTTATTTAGTTCTTTTTTTTTTTTTTTTTTTACAGAAATGCTCTTTAATAGTTTTAGTTCCAGCTAAGGAAAAAATACCTATAAAGGCTGTATTAATGTATGACTGTATACATTCTTATTATCTTATTATAAAGCTTGTGATCGTCTGTTTCACAGCAGGTCCCTTTCGACAGCAGTCTGAACCTCTACGTCCAAAAACAGAGAGACAACACTCGGTAAGAAACGTGCTCAAATTCCCATATGACGTGTCGTATGAAGTGTCAGAGGTTGAAAAATGATTAAATTATAATTATTAGCATTGACTAAAGTTATGAGGATTCTGACAAGAATGAAAAACATTAATATATTCCACACACAATTTGTGTTTGTCCTCCAGAACTGCTAGCTGTCCTGTAGGCCGTAAATGACTTCATGGATGTCCATCAGCAGGTTATTAATTAGGTTTAATAATATTTTCATGATTTATTTATATTTACTACCATTTAGTGGGGATTTGCTTTGATATGTATAATTCTTACTATTATTGTTTTGTTTTTCTCAACAATGTTAATGTTAAATAGTAATAATAATTTACAATGTTCATTTTTTACAGAATTTCTCAAGAGAGATTGTTTTCATAATTCTGTGCATCTGTTTACATTTCATATCACTAATCATTATGAACGTGTGTCGTTCTTAGCATTTTCATAAGCAGCCTCCGCAGCGGACACTGTTCGTGCTCACAGCAGAAACGGATGTGAAGGAGATGGAGGCGCTAGCTTCAGTCCTGCGGAGAACAGAATATGAGCGGGACAACAACCACTTAATCTTCTGTCATCAAGAGAAACGGCAAACCTGCCTGGCCAGAGCTAAGGAACAAGAGCTGGCAGCTGGGAAACAACCACGCATGATCTTAAGGCCTATTCTGAGCCATCTTTCTTTCGTTCTCATAATGGTGGCCCTCGTTGTGTGGGTCTTTCTTTGTCATATTTATTTATTTATTGAGGCTCACTGGTGGAGCAGGGCTTTCAGAATGACACCCGAGGTTCAACCTTAAACAATCATGCTTAAAATACACCGTAATGCACATCTTTGTGTGTGATTCTGATTCGTTTTGTGTCAGTAATGGTGTTGAATTTCGGTAAATGTTAAATGTCGTTCTTCGGTGTAGTTCTGATGTTACAAATCCAGGCCTTTTTTAGATCACGTCTCGTAAACTAAACACAGGCATTATTATCATTTATGACAAAACGTATCGATCCGGTGTGAGATGCTGTATACTTTTGAAATATTATTTATTACCTTTAATGCCGATCGACATATTTTGTATGGCCACGGCTGCTCTTGGTTAAACTGACATGTGTGTGTGTGTGTACACTAATGTAGTCGCTTCATGTTTGTAGTGTCATGTTTTAAAACTAGATATTAAGGGTCAGAGTCTCTCAAGTCTGTTTTGCTTTTGTGGTGAGCGAGCAATATGAATGTAAACCTGGACTAAAAACACTAGGTCAGAATATACTCCACAGAACAAATGTTGGACGTTTTATTTCCTTTTCAAACACAAATGCACGTTTTATTAAACTTTTTTTTTTTTTTTATGAAATGTTTCTATTTCAGACTGTTTAATCGATGTGTTCGTTTTTTTACTTAAAGAAATAGTTCATCCAAAACTGAAATGTGCTTAGTTGATTGGCCAGCAGCATTTTGAACAGCAAAACAACATATGTGGAACCATATGCAGAAAGGTCTGCGGTAGGGCTGCACGATCCTGGCTAAAATGAAAATCACAATTTTTTTTTTTGCTTAAAATCAAGATCATGATTCTGTAGATTTAAAATAAAGGTTAATATGAGTAGGCTGTTATTATTGTTACTCTCAAACATATGGTAAAACAACAATAATAATATCAGGCTTGTGTATAGGTCTGTTGGTTAAAATGCTAGAGTTTATATAGACTTTGAATGGTGGACTTGAACAGACTTTAATTTTGTCCATCAGAATATCATCATTCATAATTCTAACGTTGAATTATGTTTGAGATATATGCTTGATAACATTATTGGACCATTTTATTTCACTGATAAAATGAAATATTTGTCATGATCAGATTCCCTCATCTATTATGTTCAACATTATATAGGCTAGAGTAGTGATTCTGACCCACTACACATTTATTTTCACGCACAGCACTTTGTGTTCGCTGTGAAATAAAAAACAGATCAAATGCTTGTCATAATCATAACTCTAAATTGCGATATGATCATTTAAATGATGTGCGCACTTTCGGTTTCACTTTCACTGCTGAGTGCAGCTCATGGCTGCTGTCAGTTTAGGAAAAAACATACAAGCAAATCATAGTTCCCGCGCGGCCACCAATACGCCATTACATTAAGAAATGAATGTAATGCCATGAAGTGGCATTTTGGGTAAATTATTCCTTATAAATACTGTATGTGACACATTTAACACCATTTGGAGGTGTCCATGATGCTGAGCAACATACAAAGTCAGAATTATTAGCCCCCCTAAATTATTAGCCCCCTATTTATTTATTTTTTTCCCCAATTTCTGTTCAACGGAGAGAAGATTTTTTTTTAAACACATTTCTAAACATAATAGTTTTTATAACTCATTTCCAATAACTGATTTGTTTAATCTTTGCCATGATGACAGTAAATAATATTTGACTAGATATTTTTCAAGACACTTCTATACAGCTTGTGTACAAGTGACATTAAAAGGCTTAACTAGGGTAATTAGGATAACTAGGCAGGATAGGGTATTAGGCAGCTTGTTATACAACGATGGTTTGTTCTGTAGACTATCGAAGAAAAAACTATAGCTTAAAGGGGCTAATCATTTTGACCGTAAAATAAAACTGCTTTTATTCCAGCCGAAATAAAGCAAATAAGACTTTTTCCAGAAGAAAAAAATATTATCAGACATACTGTGAAAATTTCCTTGCTCTATTAAACATCATTTGGGAAATATTTTAAATAGAATAAACAAATCAAATGGGGGCTAATAATTCTGACTTTAACTGCATGTAAAACAATGTGAAGACTTGTGCGACCGCCTTTAAGCTTCTCTCCTCACTATGAAAATATAATTGGCTGAATCGTAGAAAAGCTGAATTAAGTTCGTGCAGGGTCAAATCCAGATGGCAATTTTTTATCGATTAATCGAGCAGCCCCAGTCTGCGCTATGAAACCCATTCATTTCAATGGCTTGTGCCATGAACCCAGCACATCTTTATTTTTGGGTGAACTGTCCCTTTAAGCCCAAAGTATACTTTGAATTTGTTTACATCCACAGCCCAATAAACAAAGAATACTCAATTTTTATACAGTAGCATGTGCGAACGGCAATCAAACGCTCATTAGCAGTTAGACACCTTGTGGACAAACTAAGAAGTGCACACACTATTTACAGCACATGCGTAATTTAAGAATTGGGCTGAGAATGTACACACAGTTTAAACTGAAGTATACTTTGGTCTTTAGTACTGTGGTTTCAGTGCCATATCTATACATCTATATATATATATATATATATATATATATATATATATATATATATATATATATATATATATATATATATATATATATATATATATATATGTATGTATGTATGTATGTATGTATGTATGTATGTATGTATGTATGTGTGTGTATATATATATATATATACACACACATACATACATACATACATACATACATACATATATATATATACACAAACATAGATGTCTCATCAATGGCTGTTATACATGAGCCATACACTGCCATATTAAAACAGTCAATGAAAAATCAGAGGCATGAATATTTACATCTCAATCCTATGATTATGCTAAGCTAAGACAATGTAACATAGGCTTGATCTAACATGACATTAAAAAGTTAGTTTAAAGCCTGTGATAATGAGGTGATAGCTGTAATTCTTTGGGAGTTTAAAAAACAAAGTATAGGTCTCAAACTTGATTCCTGGAGGACTGCAGCTCTGCACAGTTTTGCTCCAGTCCTAAGCAAACACAGCTGATCCAATTAATCAAGCTGTTCAAGACTACTAGAGACCATTTTGAGGGATGTAAACGATAACAATGGTCCTATTCTATTTCCTGTTTCACATGTTTTGTTTTTATAGCTTCTGGCAATCCAAAAAGGTCCACATATTGATGAACAATGTTATGATAGCTGTTATTATGTTAAGATAGGATTGAATTGCCTCTTGTTATGGTTGTGTAGATGTATGACAACAAGCAGGAAGTGTTAATGGGCCAATGGCATCCTCACATTAAATAGTCTACAGACTATTAAGCAGATGTGAGTTGGAGCTGGTTGGAGCTGAACTATGCAGAGCTGCAGTCCTCCAGGAATTGAGTTTGAGGCCATTTGCCATAGTGTGCAATGTTTGCACATCTTGAGGAAACACAATAATTTTTACTGCGAGTGACTATTCCAAGATGGCGGATGTGTTGACGTGTAAAATGGTTTATTGTGACATCGACGTGTATACACATCTGCAGTCAATGCTCTCTGTTTGTGTTCCCATTCATCTAATTGCCTTCTGAAATAGTTTTTTTCACAAAATTCAGCCATAAACGAGATGAAATATTCTTAGTTGTAAGACAAAATAAGCAAAAGCCACAAGCAAAATACAAACAAAATGTTTCAGCCGGCATTCGGGGCCACTTTACCACTGCTTTAACTACTTTTGTATTTATTGTATTTGCTTAAGATGCCTATTTTAAGGAATACCCCTGTATTCCAATGCGTTCATGCCCAAAAAAACATGGTACTTTCACTTCTTGTTTTAAGAAATTGCAGTACAATTTCTTGAGTTTTTTTTTTTATAGTTTGTGTGCTGCATTCTAAAAAGCGTAAAATTGAGAAGGGAATTATTTATTTGCGAGTATATTTGAGAGCCCTAAACCTCAGCTGATTAGCTGAACGATGCGTTTGCACATGCTACACACATTAAGCACAAACTCATCCAGACAAACAGCTTTCTGCAAGTGATTGTGTTCTTTTACAAGTGCTCATTATGCTACTTTTATGAAGCATTTCACTGTAAATAAGACCTTTTTTGGTAATAAAATGAAATAAATCATGTTTAATAAAGATTCAAGGGTTCGTGAAAGGTTTATTTATTTCTGTATTCATGTATTGCTGTATTTTTCTTTTTTTTGTGTGTGTGTGGAAAATCATGATCCATAGCAGTATGTTTTCAGTCATTAGTAGTATTAAGGCAACACAAATGTAAACATTCATTGTTCACAGTTATGAAAAAAACATTTTAAACATTGCTTATAGATTTATAATTATATTTTCAATTCTAATCCATAATCGAAAGCCCTTTATTTAAAGCTGCACCAGAAATAGCTGTAAGAAGAAAGTTGTACACACAAGGTTGACAGAAAAGCTAGAAGAATTTAGAAATATCACTAAGAGGATATGAAAGATTGTAATTTGCTCACAGTCATGTCCTTACAAAGATATGCGATTCTTCCGAAAATCCAAAGCTCTCAGATATCAATGTGTGGGTGAAAAAATATATATAGAACAACATACTTCACAACAAATCACAGTTTTTTTTTGTACTTTGACACTAGAAAGCGGCTTGAACAACATGAGGGTGAGTAAATAAGACTTTCCATTCCTCCATCAATTATCATAGTGTTTTGCTCCGTGTTTATTTATTTATTGCTAGTTTAGACACCCATTAAGCTATTAATCCTGCTTTAATCGTGATAGGCACTTTGAAAGGTCTGGTTTGTGTCTTACAGCTCCAGGTTCCACCACCTGACGGTGAAAGGTTCTCGGAGAACATTGGACCCGCAGTGAACTTCACCCAGCAGTTTGTGATACGGGGCGAAATCGTCGATGAAGGTGCATTTGAGGCCCAGAGGCTCCAGAAGAGAACACATTTCTTTCTCCAGCGCACACACACCCTTCACCTGTGGGCCGAATGGCTTTGGGATACCCAGCTGATCACCCAACACGATCATGTTCACCTGAGGAGACAAACAAACACAGGTAATCCGGAATCTTACACCTTTTCCAGAGTCAAATTTAACCACGTTTCAAGCACATTCCAGGTGTGTTTTGAATATGGTGATGATTTTATTATGAGTGTTTTATTTAAATAATATTTCAGTAATATTTTGTGCTCTGAAGACCTTTTTTGACAATTTACATTTACATGAAGTACTTTTGAACTCTCTATTGATAAAAAAAAAAAACATATCACGGTTTCTAAAAACAATTTAAGTGGCACAACAGCTTTAAACATAATAACATTATTATTTTTATTATTATTATTATTATTATTAATAATAATAATAATAATAATAACAAATATTAATAAAAATAATAAGAAGAAATGTATCTGGAGCATCAGATCAGCATATTAAAATATATCCTAAATTAAATCTTAACATATATAAAAAACAGCAAATTTAAAGTATATTATTTATAACAGTAGCCCCTTTCACACAGTGATACCGGTAAATATCAGGAAAATTTCC